TTTTTTTTTTTTTTTTTTTTTTTTTTTTTTGTTTTGGTTAGTTTAGTTTATTAAATTTGTCTATATAAGCAAAATTTTAATCCTAAACTTATCATATATGCACATTTTTAACCATTAACTTATAAATTAGTTTAAGGGGTTAATATTTATCCGCATTATCTCTAAAAAATTAAGAGGAAAAAGAACAAAAAATCTCGTAATTCATGCTTTTAAAAATAAAACATTTTAATCTTTTTCAATAAGTATTTATTAAAATGACGTAGTTTTGGAATAATATTATTCTTAATCTTTAGTTGATAAGACGGATAAATACGATTCTCTTAGTTTCATAGTCCTTCCTAATTTTATTCTTTTTCTTACACTTGTTATCCTTTCTTTATTTAGTAAGTTCTTTTTACTACTTTAATTTTCTTCTCTCTCTGTTAATTTACACCAGCATCTTCAATCCACAATCATAAGTATATATCTTTCTACTAACTTATTGATCCGAATGGAAAGAACTCAGATTTCCATAAGTAATATTACGAATTTAAATCTTATAAATGGAGAGACAGATGCTCAAATAGCTTCTCCTTTATAGAGTTAGGAGTTTAGTGAAAAAAATAAATAAATTTTATTCTTTCCTTATTTTGCCCCTTTCATTCTCCCTTCCATTTTTTAAAATTCAACTTATAAAAAAAAATAATAATAATAATCTACCGGCATAGGCTTCAAAGAAGGAAAATTAAAACGCCCTATAACCTTCCACGTACTGGAGAAAGTTACAATTTTGGTTCCTTTTATGCTCCGATGGCAACTCTTTCATCCGGTAAGTGAGCCATTGAGCCACTGCTGTGATTACATATGAAATAGTTCCTTTCTTAAATTAGTGGTGTAGCGTACTTCATTTGTCATCTTCACTGGGGGGATTTGTTAGTCTTCATGGAAGTCATTGGGATTTTGCACATTCATGTTTCGAGGTTTCTCCATTAAACCTAAACACGCGGTGGTATTTCCACAGAGCTTGAAGTGTGTCATTCTTTTGTGATTCTGCATAAGTACATGTGTTATAATTTATATTATTTTAATTCTTTTTTATAGCATTTACTAACCATAGTTTGCCATACTATGACCACATTTTTAGTTCTTCAGTTTTGAAAACCAGATTAATTGGAGGCTGCTATTAATATTTTTTCTTTTATTGTGCGTAAAAGTTCTTGTTTATGGTAAACGCTCTTGGATTTTAAGGTGAAGGTTTTCAATGGCATATTTTGAAATGTCTTTTAGATGGTGGTAGGACCTAAATCGATTTTCATCATCACATGAGCATGAAGGGTTTGAAATGAAGTTGTTACCATTTCTTTTATTGGGTTGAGCATGCCTACATGGAGTTTACTTGTTTGTTTTAGAAATCTAAAAATTGGTTTGTAAGTTATGACTTTCTTATTAACTCCTGCATATTTTTAAATTATGGATTTTCCTGTTGAACTCCTACATGGTTTTGTCTCAAATATGGTCATGATTATTGACACTCGCCAATGGGAGTTGTAAACACTAACACATGTCGACATGTATATCTATAGTATCAGTTCACTCTATATTCCTGTTATTCTTGTCAGTAAGATAGTACACTAGCTATTATTGATGCCTGCCAATGGGAGTTTGTTAAACACTGACCATGACTAATTGAGGAGACCACTATTGAATTTTTCTCTACATTAATGATTTATAACTGAAATTTTTCCTTCAGTTTATGTTTTAAATTATTTATCTAACATGTTTTAACTTTAAATAAGGGCTACCCATATTTTTATTTACTAAATTATCTCACATAATTTTTTCTCATTCATCATTTCAGATAGCGAGATAAGGGATGCAGAAAACTATGGGAAGTGACAAGTTAGAAGGCTAACTACTTGTATTTTGGATTTAAATTTAAATTATTTTGAAGTTAGGCAGCTAGTCAAATTATTTTTGGACATAGAGTTGTATTAATTTTTATGCACTATTGGCCTAGTAAAGCTTGGATTATAAAAACCAAATGTTATTTCAAAATTTGGATCTTAGTTTAGTGGATTGTCAAATATGAATTAAACAGGTTCTGAGCTTTATGCACTTGTGAGATCCTTTCAGAAGTGTACACTCAGAAGTGTACACTCACAAGTATATACTCACAAGTATATAGTGTCTGTTTCACTTCTAGTTCGAGGACATGACAATTTTTAAAATATTAAAAGACCTAAAATCCTACATTTGCAGTTAACTAAGCCTTTGGTTGCTACAACCAAGGATTTTTGTCCAATTCACAAGCTTAGTGAAAGGAGGTTTTTTACCAGTATTCAAGGTAGTGTCTTAGTATTGAACCTCTCTATTTTCTTTGCATATATATAAACTTATAAACACAATACAATCCCATTTGTTCAACCAATGAGAAGGGAGCATTGGATCATTTTACTTTTGGTTTTGGGATGGAGAAATTGCATATGTTTCTTTTCTCTATCTTGTTTTTTGTTTCTCTATATAATGGAGCCATGAGGAGAGTTAAGAGAAGCAGATGGACTAAAAGATTGGGGAAATGTTCAAATTAGACCCACTAAGCCATTTCCTTCTATGGTTTTAACCAATAACATTTTTTTTGTGTTTCTTATCTTTTTTTAATGTAATGATTTGTTACATTGTTTGGATATACATCAGTTTTATGTGGATAAAAATTTGCTATGTATTCATTGATTAATAGTGATGTATCAAGAGTTTAACGAGGAAGACCTCTATTAGTAAGAGAACAAATTAAAAGACAAGCAACACAGAAAGTTGATCACCGGTGTTTATATATGCTTGTAATTTTTTGAGTAATCATGAACCTCATTGTTGCTTAATAATAATTGCAGAAATTTGATGTAACTATTCAGGTAATTGTTAGAAGTGCATATTATACAACCTTCCACTTGCAGCCAAGCTTTAGGGTCCCTCTAACACAGGATGCTTTTCGAAATAGGAGAGCTCACTTGAGTTATTTGTGTTTCCCAAAATGAGGATGTGTAAAGGTACTTGGTGCAAAGGACTATGCACCAGAGAGAGTTATTCCCAGCAAGTATTTTCCAGCCTAGCTTGCACACGAGCTATGTTATTTTCCTTGGCTGTTCACAGACCCAACCCACTATGGTCTTTGCTCCTGCAAACAGCACGCCAACGGACTGAATGGAGTTAATTTTCTTTAGTGTCTGAACCTCATAAGAAATTCCTTTCGATTCTATCAATTGCTGGATAGACCGAGCTGGAAGGAGGGATGTTTGCATGATATAAGTTGGGATGGAAGAGGTAACAGATTGTACTAAACTGTACCGGCCTACAAAGCTGCGAAGTTTTCTCTTCCAGGAGCTAAGTTTAGCTCGCATTTTGTCCAGTACTTGAAAGTGTTGTTTGTTGACCCGCCATGGAGAATGGGTACCCCAGATAGGTTCCCAAGTTCGTGGTTAGGGGAATGCCACATCTTGAGCTCCAAGTTGAGGTCACTGCGGCTTGGATATTTGGTGATATAAAGAGGTTGGATGCATAGAATTGTCCCCAAACTGAATGTATCAGCACAGGTTTAAAGGTAGTCCATGACACCACCTAATTAGGTCGTAGAGGCCTGGCAAAACAGCATGGATCATTAGTGATAAAAAGGTGAGAAATTGAGATGTTATACCAAGAGAGGCTTAGAGGCTTCCAATGACCCCGCTACACACTCTGGTCAATGAACAGGTAAGGAGAAATGGGGTTTCTTATTGACGAAGTTCCCTCTCGGGTTTGAAGTAAAGCAAAGCTTCACCAATCTACAAAATGGAAGGATTAGTAGACATAATACAAAGCATAATAAGACAAATAAGTTTAATAGGAAAATTAAAGTCATGAAGCACTCCCTCAAGGAAATTCCAGTCCAGGTTATCAAATGGCTTGTGTAGGTCAAGATTGAAAACTATCCCGCATTTCTTGCCTTTCATTCGTCTAAGTGTGTGAATACCTTCCTGAGTAAGAATAATGTTACCAGCTGAACTTCAAGTAACTGCTTTGATGAGACCAAGCAGTTTCTAAAGTATGGTGGCATAATCCTATTAACAGTGACTTCAGAAAGCACTTTGTACGCCACATTCAGGAGGCTGTTGGGTCTAAACTTTTGAATGGTATCTAGAATGTCACCTTTAGGAATAAGGGCAATGTGGGCTTTAATTAGGGAGTCGGTAATGAAACAATTCGCAAAAGCATCGTTTACAAATTCAACTATATCACTAATTAATGATGATGTGATCGTGCTATCAGAATTCTCTATTTCTACTTGCATGATTAGTTCGCAATTTGTGGGTTTGGTAACTTATCCTACTCTTCCATTTGCTTTGGCTGCATTGCAGTTGTCACGCCCCAGAACCCAAATCTGAGGCGCGACAGACGCCGTGCACTCGTGAAACGGGTCCCACAAATGCACAAGGCTCGGAACTTACTGAACAAAATCGGTTTGGGACCATAAAATTTCCAATTAAAATCTAACTTACAAGAGCGTGGTGTACATGTATCTAAAATCTATGTCAAATCTCAAGTGGCTAGCCTTTTATCACGTCACTCCCCTTGATTTCCGAGTCTCAGGGCACACTAC